ACCTTTCTTGAGTTAGTTGATTGTCCACAATATTTATATGAAGTGATTTAAATAATTTCATACAGCCCAATAAAAAAGTTGAATAAATTTGCCTTCTAAGTAAACTATGTCAGTTTTGAGATTATTTCGAGATTATTTTACAATGAATATTGTCATTCGTTGAGTTAAAAATGGTTTGTGCACCGATTTTTGTTAGTGTAACCATCGTAATGGAGAACTTGTACTGTCATGCCGAGTTTAATTCTGATGGTTGACGTTGGAAGGGTCACATGGATTGAGTAATAAATTATGGTATTCGGATACTCATGATTTATTAGGCATTATTATAAAAAGCATGTGAATATATGTGCCCTTTATTTATAGAGAAATTGGGAAAGCGAATGTTATTCTCAACTAAGGATGAAGGCACACTCTTATATATATTCTAATTTTACAGATTGTCAACATAGAGATCTCAACGCTTCGCTATAGATTCCACATTTGCCCAAAGCGCAATAATTAAAATTTTATGCTATCGCGTATACGCAATATTTTGAGCGCAGATGAATTAAGCCACCAAGAATACATAATTGTGCCTAATACTACTAAGGTAACATTAATATGACTATGATGGTACAAAGTAAGTGACAACTTAACGTTAAAGAATTAGACAAATACGGAAGTGAGGAGACACAGGAAAAATTAATCGTTACATTGGTAAAACGTCGTGTTACCAAAAAGTACTTTAAAATGTATAAATAAGTTACCCGGGCATTTGATTTACATCAGCCAATTATACGAATGTCCCACTATGATCCTGCGCAGTCCCCATCGGTCCCAGTCCAAGGACCGATCCAGACCGGGTCTTCGACAGAACCGGTGCATCCCTATTTATCAGTGTTGGTAAATATGATATATTCCTGATATATGGGCGCTGTTCAATAGAAAAGGGATAAATCTCCTTTTTAAATCCGGTCAAATTGACCAGATTTAAAAAGGAGATTTATACCTTTTATATATAGATTCAAATGAATCATATGCTATATGATATAGATTATGTCATATTATGTCCAGAGCGTAGCGATGGACCCTTAGTTTTTATGCAAAGTGATATGTAATTTGGTCACATGGGAGACAGACATTAATAATAATATGATCACCATATGCGCTCTGGACCCATAATGCTATGCATTTTCTTAGTATATTACACTTCATTGTAATATGACAAGTCATATAGGTCATGTCATTTAAATGACATCATCGGCCAACACTACTATTTATACCCACAATGTTTGTTATTATTATACGAATTTGGAAAAAAAGTATATATAAAGCGGTTAACCTGATATCCTTCTCCCTTTACATGTAAATACAGAAATACATCCTGTTTGCCCAATTTCCCTTGATCTATTTATTATAATTGATCTAAACCGGCGTCAGCTCTCCCATCTGATATTAATACTGGGTGATCCGAGTAGAGATCATTAACGCCTTTCGAGAAAACCTTATAAATAAATAGACAAATTGCTCTTTCTGTTCGTTTAAAAATGACTGATCAAAGACCCATTATTCTTTGGGCTCATGTAAGGTCTCTTTCTACGGTTTTTGAACGGCCATTTCTTCAATGTCCTCAAGAATTCCATGTTATTCATGAACCATTTGTTCCAATTGGTTACGCTTACACAACTAAAAACACTGAATTTTTGAATAGAATTCCGTTACCTAAACCTACTGATCCGATCACTTTTACACATCATTTCACACCTACTTTTAATGAAATTCTTGCTCCTCATTACTATAATGAAAATAAAACACATCCTTTAAGAGTTTTTGTGAAAGATCTTGCATTCTTCTTTATACATACATCAGAAGGAAGTCCATTGCAATCCAAGGAGTTTCTTTCAAAATTTAAACATACTTTCTTAATTAGAAACCCAGAAAAATCTGTAAAGTCTTATTACAAAGCTGCAAATGCTACCTATAAAGCTTGGGATAAAGCCAACGTACCTAATTCTGAAAGGGTTGAGCTTTTTTCCTCTAGCAGGATTGGGCTCAAAGAATCAAGGGATCTTTATGATTTAATTACGAATGTAACTGGAGAGGAGATTCCATTAGTGGATGCTGATGATTTAGTTCGAGAACCTGAGAAAGTTTTGAGAAAATATTGTGAAATGGTCAATGTAGAATTTAAGAAGGAAATGCTTGAATGGAAAGCAGAAAGATTAGAGATATGGGATGAAAAAATGTCAGGCCTATATCACGTTCCAAATTTAGATTATTTGTGGCATAAGTATGTTTAATATTTCATTTAATTTTTTTTTATACATCTAGTAATTAACAATATAAATAAAATAGAAACGCAATGAAGAGCACAGGATTTAACAAAGCAGTCAATAATGACGATAAAATTGAATATCCTCAATATGTTTATGATATAATTACTAGAAACAAGCCTCATTACGAATATTTGTTTCAACATAGAATTAAAATTTAGTACAATCTTGCATAATATGAATTTTTATATAAAGCAATATTCTGTATCTAGATATGAGTTCGGCATCATCTAAAATATTATTCTGTATTAGGATGTTTTTTATCATTTGATAAAAGTTTACATAATAGAGAACAATTGAAAATCGCCTGATCGTGAATTTTTCTACCATGGCTATTCTACCTTAATTTCTATACTCAAATAGACTACAAAACATTATTCTTCTCAAGTTCAAATGTATAAGAATTTTATTAAATATTTAATGCAAAGCTAGGATTGTCTAGACATTACAACTTTTCTTCGATAATAAAATTATCCAAAATTGGTTAGAATCTCCACATGTATTGATTTAAAATTACTACGTATTTCAGTATTTGTACGTACATTGTTATACCTAATTTAGAATATTTTAATTTATTTGTGTTACTACAGTGCAGGCATCCTTAACATATAAAATACATAACATCAGCGGAATTTTTCGTGTAACATATTTCTACGTACGTACGTTGTGACGGGCTCCCCGGGACCCCGTTATATTTTTTTTCTTTCCTTCTTTTTATTTTTCTTTCTTTCTTATTATTTTATTATTTTGTGGTTATTTACTTTCGCATATGTAAATTTCGAAGAGGCCCGCTAAAATTAGTAAGCCGCCCTACTAAATTAAGAAGCTCAAACCCGTTTTGGGAAAATTGCGAATAATGGTCATATTAGTAATTCTCAAAGTTCTCAGAATTCTCAAAATCCCCGGAATAATGGGAGAAATGGGAATTGTGGACGCGATTAAGTTAAAGAGAATATTAAAATAGTAGGGAAAAGGAGGA